TGAGCCTCACATTCACTATAGCAATATAATGGTGGAGAAAGTATAAGCCATCCTCCATCTTTGTCAGATTTGCATATATCCCCCTTTACCAGGGAAGTATTGAAAGTTGAAAAGCACTCTCTGCTCTTTTAACCCAGTAGTCTAGACAACAAGTTGGCAAACTTTCAGTAAGGGGCCAGATAGTAAATATTTTAGGCTTTGTAGGCCATATAGTCTCTGTCACAATTTCTCAACTATGTCCTGACAGCACAAAAGCAATCATAGACAATACTTAAATGAATGAGTTTGGCTGTGTTGTAATTAATAAAACTTTATTTATAAAACCATACAGGAGGCTGAATGGCCCATAGACCATAGCTTGCAGACTCCTAGGCCAGATTGGGTTTTTGTATAGTGTGCTGAAGCTAAGAATGGTTTTCATTTTTTTTTTTTTTTTGGTAAGGTATTTTAAAAAAAAATACAACATAGGCCATATGTATACCCTGCAAAACCTCAAACATGTACTAACCTTTTAGAGAAGTTTGTCAACCTTAAGGGCCTGGCTAGCAAAGCTCCTGGTGTGTGCTTATAGGAATGAGCAGTGTGCCCCATGAAGTGTGGGGAGGCTAGGAAAGGGAGTTTGAACCTTCGGGCCTCTAGTCTTTTTCTGATTTAGAACCAAAATATGTAAGCCTGTCTTCAACAAAATCTTTCAACTCCATAGAGGATTAGTCTTCAGCTATTCCTGCCCATAACAGAACTCAGTCCTTTCTTTGAGCGCTTCTGACTCTATCCACTTTTGTCAAGGCACCTTAATTACCTGTTGTGCTGTGTTTGCTTTCCAGTCTCTACCTGTGCTAATTTGGCAGTCTTTTAGGAGCAAGAACTCTTTTTTTTTTTTTTTTTTTTATGATAGGCACACAGTGAGAGAGAGAGAGGCAGAGACACAGGCAGAGGGAGAAGCAGGCTCCATGCAGGGAGCCCAGTGTGGGACTCGATCCGGTCTCCAGGATCACGGGCCGAAGGTGGAGCTAAACTGCTAAGCCACCGGGACTGCCCAGTCTCCTGAGTTCTTAGTACATAATAAATCTAATGGATACCTGGGCAGTTGAATTTTATAGTGTTTTATAGTATACAGCTGAAGCTATACTAGTAGTGTCCTCGTAATTTATGTTGTAGAACTGCTTTAAACTTTCTAACTATGCAGACAATGAAATACCCTTGGAAGCAGTCTGAGATGGAACTGATTGTGCTTTTATTGTTTTTTTAAGATTGATTGATTGATTGATTTATGACATAGAAAGAGAGAGGCAGAGACACAGGAGGAGGGAGAAGCAGGCTCCATGTCGGGAGCCTGATGTGGGACTTGATCCTGGGACTCCAGGACCGCGCCCTGGGCCAAAGGCAGGCACCAAACTGCTGAGCCACCCAGGGATCCCTGATTGTGCTTTTAGTATAGTATCTGAGATTTATGTAGTCCATGAAATAGGGGCAGGGCTTACCTCAGAGAGGATGGGGGGTGGGGAGCTAATTATATGCTTAAACAGCCAAGAACTATAGTGCATGTTTCACACATAATCTGACGTTAATCCCCATACACTGGAAAGACGTGGGGTTTATTCCTGAGGTTGACTAGCTTAGAGGTTATGAGTTGAGTACTCTAGAACTAGACTGCCTCAGTACAAATCTAACCCTATGTTGGCATGTAAGATAGGGATAATCACAGGATTGTGAGAGGATGAAGTAATTTAACATCTGTATAGACTACAAACAGTGCCTGGCATAGGTAGTAAGTGTCAACTCTATTACTGTTGCTCCTCCTGCTACTTACTACTCCTGCTCTTTTTTAAATGTATTGATATTAAGCAGTTTGCCCCTCAGTTACCATGTTGTTAATAAGCAGTAAAATCTTAGAGGTTGTATTTATTTATTTGTTTGTTTATTTATAAATAAGATTTTATTTATTCAAGAGAGAGGCAGAGACATAGGCAGAGGGAGAAGCAGGCTCCATGCAGGAGCGTGATGTGGGACTCGTTTGCAGGACCCCAGGATCACACCCTGGGCCAAAGACAGGCGCTAAACTGCTGAGCCACTCAGGCGTCCTGATCTTAGATGGTTTTTTCTTTTCTTTTCTTTTTTTAAAGATTGTATTTATTCATGAGAGAGAGAGAGAGAGAGACAGAGACAGAGAGACAGAGAGAGAGAGAGAGAGGCAGAGACAGAAGCAGGCTCCATGCAATGAGCCTGACGTGGGATTTGATCCTGGGTCTCCAGGATCACGCTCTGGGCTGAAGGCAGGCACTTAACCGCTGAGCCACCCAGGAATCCCCCGATCCTAGAGGTTTTAAATCAAGCTCCTAATCACCATGGCATGGTACATCTACTGCTATTAATTCAGTAGTCAGTATACTATATTAAGCTAGTCATTTATACTTAGATGTAAGTTTTGCCTTTTGGAAAGTAGTGTGGCAGTGTGTATCAAGGACCATAAAAATGTCCCTGTTCTTTAATCTGGAAATCTAGGCTTTTTTTTTTTTTCTTAAGATTTTGTTTATTCATAAGAGACAGGTGTAGGCAGAGGGAGAAGCAGGCTTCTCGCAAAGGAGCCCAACGGGGGACTTGATTCCGGAACTTTGGGATCATAATTGAGCCAAAGGCAGATACTCAACCACTGAGCCACCAGGTGTCCCTGGAAATCTAGGCTTTACAAAAAATCTAATATCGAGGGACACCAGAGTGGTTCAGTTGGTTGGGCATCTGACCCTTGATTTGACTCAGGCCATGATCTCAGGATGGTGGGCATAGAGCCTGCTAAGATTCTCTTCTGGAGCTCCTGGGTGGCTCTATTGGTTAAGCATCTGCCTTCAGCTCAGGTCATGATCCCAGGGTCCTGAGATTGAGCCCCACTTTGGGTTCCCTGTTCAGCAGGGAGCCTGCTTCTCCTCCCTTCTTCTGCCATCTCCCCTGCTTGTGTTGTCTTTATGTCAAATAAATAAATAATAAGATAAAAAATAAAGTCAATAATGCTGTATTTAAAAAAAAAAGATTCTCTCCCTCTGCCCCTCCCTCTCTTAAAAAATCGAATATGAGAAACTTTTTTTAAGATTTTATTCATGAGAGACACAGGGCGGGGGGAGGGGCAGGCTCTCTGCGGGGAGCCTGATGGCAGTACTCGAACCTCCAACCCCAGGATCACGCCCTGAGCCAAAGGCAGACGCTCAACCGCTGAGCCACCCAGGTGTCCCCATGGTGGCACTTTTTATGAAGGAAAAAAAAATACACAAACATAAAACGATCATGTTATTATATGAAGTAACTTTTTAGATCATTAATTGAAGGAAAGAAAGAGTGGCCATGAGCTAATAGACGACAAAACAGAGGCGCCTGGGTGGCTTCGTCAGCTCAGATCATGATCCAGAGTCCTGGGATCGAAGCCTAATAAGTTGGGTTTCTGACTCAGTGGGAGACTGCTTGAGGATTCTCTTACTCCCTCCTTTCCTCCATTCACTCGCATGGTGTGTGTCTGTCTCTCTCTCTCTCTCTCTCTCAAAATAATCTTTTTTTTTAAATTTTTACTTATTTATGATAGTCACACACACAGAGAGAGAGAGAGAGAGAGAGAGAGAGGCAGAGACATAGGCAGAGGGAGAAGCAGGCTCCATGCACCGGGAGCCCGACGTGGAATTCGATCCCGGGTCTCCAGGATCACACCCTGGGCCAAAGGCAGGCGTTAAACCGCTGCGCCACCCAGGGATCCCTCAAAAAATAATCTTTAAAAAAAAAAAAAAAGATAAATCAGAAACCATAGTCGGTGCTTAAACAGGCATTTCCTATCCTAGCTTACTCTCAAGGCTACTCTAGATTTAGGCCCTGTTGGTGGTACTGCAAGTTGAGTCACTTCAGAGGTGCAGGCTCTTTGGGTGAAGCCCAGAGTTTGTTACTCTGGTGTAGATTCTGTACTTTAGAAAAGTTAAGGTGTGGGAGGGAGCTAATGGTAAGACAGTTTATTTTCCCCAAAGCTGGTACATTTGCAACTTCTTAAAACATTTCTTAGGTGAAGAGAGACCTCTATGGTTCTTTTCCAGAAGAGGCATTACAGATGGGGTATTAGAGGAGAGCAGAGACTGCACTCCTAGAATTATCTCTGGGAGGGCATTCTGCAGCTTTCTTGGCCAATACATGTTGATCTCTTGAGCACAGCAGAGGCGTGTGGTGGTATCTGTGGACTGATGCTTTCTTGCCTGTGAATTCTGCAGTGAAAAGGTCCCTATGTTTTCATTTTGGTGCTCAGATGATGATTCCTGCATAAAAGGTAATGTGGGTTTCATTATCTTTTTTAATTGGCTTATGTATAAACCCTTTTCTGGTTTTTGTATTTTGAGGGACACAGAAACCTTTGTCATTTTCTCTCTGGGCACCCAGGGAAGTGTGTAGGATGCTTACTATAGATTAGGACCAGGAGGAAGAATGTGTGGTGGTTGTTCCAGAGTCCTAAGGAAGGCAGCTATTGAACTTAAGATTTTAAAAATAAATTTGGGGGCACCTGGGTGGTTCAGTGGTTGAGCATCTGCTTTTGGCTCAGGGCATGATCCCAGGGTCCTGGAATCGAGTCTTACATCTGGCTCCCTGCCAGGAGCCTGCTTTTCCCTCTATCTATGTCTCTGCCTCTCTTTGTGTGTTTCTCATGAATAAATAAATAAAATCTTAAAATAAATAAACTCAGACCAGCTGTATCTCTGTAAGCAAAAGGTTCCTGTGAAACAGATTTTGTGTGTGTGTGTGTGTGTGTGTGTGTGTGTGTGTGTGTGTATGTACTTGTGATTTAACAAGGTCTATTCAGGATATTAAATTCTGTTGCAGTACAGACTGCAGAACATAAAACGATATGACAGAACTTTCTTACTACGGAGAATTTAGCAAGGGAAATAATTCATCATAGAGGAAAATGGTTTATTTAAAAATTTGACAAACACTGGTATCAAGATTTTTTCTCTTAGAGTTAATTTTCTTTCTCTCTGAAGGTACCCAAGCCCACCAATGGGATCTGTATCAGCACCCAACCTGCCTACAGCAGAAGAAAATCTGGAATATGTACGGACTCTCTATGATTTTCTTGGGAATGATGCTGAAGACCTGCCCTTTAAAAAGGGTGAGATCCTGGTGATAATAGAGAAGCCTGAAGAACAGTGGTGGAGTGCCCGGAACAAGGAGGGCCGGATTGGGATGATTCCTGTTCCTTATGTTGAAAAGCTTGTGAGATCCTCACCACATGGAAAGCACGGGAATAGGAATTCCAACAGTTACGGAATCCCAGAACCTGCTCATGCATATGCTCAACCTCAGACCACAACTCCTCTACCTGCAGTTTCCAGTACTCCTGGGGCAGCAATCAACCCTTTGCCATCCACACAGAATGGACCTGTCTTTGCAAAAGCCATCCAGAAAAGAGTACCCTGTGCTTATGACAAGACCGCCTTGGCATTAGAGGTAAAATTTACAAGGCTGGTTTTTTGGGTCTTTTGACATTTGGTTTTAATTTTGTTTCTACAAAGTAACTGCTCATTTCAAGTTCTATTCAGGGGAATAAGAGAACCGGGTAATTTTGGAAGATACACTGTGAGTGTCCCACACGACTCTTTTGTCCTTCCTATTCTTTGTTTCTCCCAGGGTATAATCTCTCTTAGGTTTACTTTCACAGTAGTTGTTTTGTTTTGTTTTGTTTCGTTTTTAAAGCTTTTATTCATCTATCATGAGAGACAAACACAGAGAGAGAGAGAGGCAGAGACACAGGCAGAGGGAGAAGCAGGCTCCATGCAAAGAGCCCGACGTGGGACTCGATCCCGAGACTCTAGGGGCCGGCACCAAACTCCTGAGCCATCCCCCTGTAGTTGGTTTTCTTTCCAATAAGGAAAGGATGATGGTTAATAAAGATCCATTACCTAAAGATGAAATGAGCATACAGGTAGACACATAGCCATTTGTACAGTTCCATATTTCTAACATCGCGATCAGTTGAGGAGACATGAATAAATGTCTTAGGATTCCTCTTCAGCTAGGCAGTTTAAAATATCTCAGACCTTACTAGATTTTTTAATTTTTTAAAGATTTTATTTATTTATTCATGAGAGACAGAGAAAGGCAGAGACACAGGCAGAGGGGAAAGCAGGCCCCATGCAGGGAGCCCGACGTAGACCTTGATCCGGGGTCTCCAGAATCACGCCCTGGGCTGAAGGCAGCGCTAAACCACTGAGCCACCCGGGCTGCCCTAGATCTATTTTTTGATAGAGATTTTTTAAATTATAATAGCATGAAATAGAACTTGAACATTTTAATTGCCAAGTCATGTTCTTTAAATCAAACAATAACTGTCTTTAAAAAAAAAAAAAAAAAGAACAACTGTTGCAAAGCTTAGCAAGAGTGGTTTTCTGAACCAAGAAGTCCTGAAGGTCAGTGTTGATTGATAAGCCTGTTGAGGGCATAAAACTCTGTATCACAGAACGTAGAAGTTTGATGAGACATCTGGTAAACCTGGAGTGACCATAAATGAGCACAAACCCCAGAAGAAGAACAGAAGGACTACTTAAGGGGGAAAAAAGGATTTTTTAAAAATTCGTGTTTTTAGAACAGTCCTGTATATTTTTCATGTTTTTTTTTAATGAGGTATAAAATACATACATTGAGATGGGCCGTAAATATTAACATGTCAGAACATGGAATTTAGTGCCGCAAATCCTAGTTTGTTAATAAGATGTGAAAATGCTTTGTGAGCCACAAGCTACAAGGTAAATAAATATCATTGTAATGTGATTTCAGTTGAATACTCTGTTGATATTATCAAATTGCATATATGTTGGAGAAACTGAGGTTACGCTAGTGATCGTTCTCTGTGTGTTCACCCCAAGGTCAGAGTAGGGCAGGGCTGCAAGACCGAAGGATGAAGCAATGGAGCCTGAGTCTGATTACTTCTCCCTCTCATGTTGGCTATAAAGGAGTGAGCATCTGAGGCTTGTGGCAGGGACCAGGTCTAGGGAGGACCCACATGCTTTTAATGCTTACCAGTGGAGGAATAGGAAAGAAACCAGACTGAATCCTGGCTGAGTAGGCCTTGCAGCTTTCTCATCTCCACATGCACGTGCCCCTGCATGGGCACATACCTTTGGCCTAGTTCACACATCAGTACCTTAAAATTACATAGGGTGTTCTGGGCTCTAAAAACTTTCCGGTTTGCAGAGTAATTCCTGCAATTGAGGCATTTTTATGTCTGTTGTCTCATCATAGGAATAGAGAGCTAGGATTCACAAAGTTGTTGTGACTCACATGTGTTAGACACACTGGGGTCAAGGCCCAGTTAGAATTCCAAGCTCCATAGAGGAAGTTGGGAATTGGGCTCTTACCTGAGCTAAGGGTTTTTTGTTTTGTTTTTTTTTGTTTGTTTTGTTTTGTTTTAATTGCTTATTTGATGAAGCACAAGCAGGGGGAGTGGCAGATGGAGAGGCAGGCCCGATTCCAGGACCCTGGGAAGGCATGACCAAGCCGAAGGCAGATGCTTAACCAACTGAGCCACCCAGGTGCCCCTGAGCTAGGGTTTAAAGCCTCACTCCATTTAGGCCACCTGCCTATTGACCTCTAGCTCTAAGATGTGCATGCATTTTACAAACCTGTGTCTCCTTTGTGTTGCTTGGAGTGTACATAGAGAGGGTTGTAGAGTGGAAGACCAGGTACTATGAAGGGGGAGCATTTTTTTTTTTTTAAAGATTTATTTAGAGAGTTTGTGAATGGGGAGGGGGTGGGTGGTGGTGCAGAGGGAGAGGGAGAATCGTTGAGTAGACTCCTGGCTCAGTGGAGGAGCCTGAATCACAGCTGGATCAAAGATTTCAGATCCCGTGGATCCCTGGGTGGCGCAGCGGTTTGGCGCCTGCCTTTGGCCCAGGGCGCGATCCTGGAGACCCGGGATCTAATCCCACGCCGGGCTCCCGGTACATGGAGCCTGCTTCTCCCTCTGCCTGTGTCTCTGCCTCTCTCTCTCTCTCTCTGTGTGACAATCATAAATAAATAAAAATAAAAAGATTTCAGATCCCTGAGATCATGAGCTGAGCCAGAATCAAGAAGTCTGCTGCTTAGCTGACTGAGCCACCCAGGCAGCCCTTAAGGGGGGTTCTTTTGGGCTTGGTGAGCAGATATATGGGTAGGTGCCTTAGACCAGGATGAGGATAAAGAGCCTGGTTAATGATGTGTATTTTAAGATAACCCACATACTTGGCCATTACGCAGCTCTCCTTGTTTCTCAGACGTCAGAGAGAAGTCTCTACACCTGAGTCTGCTCATGACACTACTCCAGCTGTGTAAGCCTCATCAAAGGCTTGTTTTGATGTGTATCACTGAGAGTGTAAGGGGGACCCAAGTTATAAACTTTTGGTGAATTCCACTTAATGATATTCCTCATTCTGTATATTTTTTTTTATTTTTTATATATTTATATACACCCCATTCTGTATATTTAAATGAGATTTTTGGTTATAGCATAAGTTAAATAGTTCTATGAATTACATTATCTTCTAAAACTTAGTGCTTGTCTGATCTTAAAAACAACTCTCTTGAGACTTTTGCAATTAGGTTACCAGGAAAAGTATAAAATTAAAATAAGAAAGGTGAGACAAGTAGGACAAAATGTGCCAGTAATTGAAGCTCCCTTATTTCCCTTGATGGTTATTAGGGAGAACGATGAGGGCCTGGATGAACTTTATTTTGTGAATTATTTCACACATTTTTTTCATAAAATTTGATTTTCAAAAGAACATTCCTATAAGCAAAAAGATTTAAAACAGGTCTGTGTTTAGCCATTTTTCTCTCTTGCTTATTACCTCTTTTTAAGAAGTGAGTTGATCCTTGGGATTTAATTTGAAATGGAATACTTGGTACCTATGCGAGGAGATTAAGGTGGGTGTCTCCACTCCTTGAAAACTGCAGATTCTCCCATGCTCTTGGTGTAGTTGGGCTGGAAAGGGCTCCTGGGAAGCAGGTCACACCCTACAAGAACATTCTCAGGTTGAGGGAAATGCAGCCCTTTCCAAAAGTAGATCACTGACCAGAAGAGAATGTTTAGAGCAAGGGTGCTATTGTCATTATAAAATAACTGTAGTCGTCCTTCTCTGACAGTGGAATAGCAAGGTGGTTAGGGAAAGATCATGGACCTGTGTTCAGGTCCTGGCTTTTCATGGTGTGATCTTGGGCAAGTTACTTAAATTCTTTAGAGTCTAAAAGGCACACACTTGTTCTGAGAGCTGATGTGAGTTTGTTCATTAATTACCCATGTATGCAACTAACCTGTGAGGGACGTCTTGTATGATCCTACTACCAATGTGCTTACCACCTAGTGAGAGAATAGAGACAGAAACCAGCAGTGTGGTAAGTGCTCTAATAACATGCAGAGTATGAGGGAGAGTAGGGAAGGGGGTAGGAGATGGGAGTGTGGGTATCTGTCTGGGAAGCCCTCCTGGAGGAGGTGACTCTTGAACTGAGTTTTGAAGGATGAATAGAAGTTAGCTGGGTGAAGTGCAGAGACACATTCCTGGCAGAGGGAAGAGCTTATGTGAACAAGACCTAACACCACTGAGCAGCTGCAGGTTGGTGAGAGTATGCCGTATGTTGGGCAGAGGGCAAAAGTGGCAAAAGACAAAGCAGAGCAAGTGGACTGTTGCTATGACTGGGCTGAGCAGATGAATGGTTTCCTTATGTTGCCTTCATTGGGGGCATAATTGAACCAATTTCTCACAACTGATGGAGATTCTGAAGTTTGCAGGCAACTTACCTTTTTATTGATTGATTTTTAAATAATTGACAGCAAGTGCTTGAGTCTCCCTGTAATAATATTCTCACACACTTGTATTCCAATATACTTTCCTGACTAGAAAAGAAAGGGAAGAACTTACTTAGTAGTTAGCATTGTCCTTAGCTCTGGGGCTCCACACCAGTGATTATTTGCTGTATGAAAATTTGTATCCAAGCATCTAAATGTAGCTGTGGTGGAGCTTTCCCCTGTGGTATGGGTTAAGAAAACAGTTAGTATGGGGGCACTTGGGTGGTTCAATCAGTTAAGTGTCTGACTCTTTTTTTTTTTATTTTAAAAAAAATTTTTTTTAATTTATTTATGATAGTCACACACACACACACACAGAGAGAGAGAGAGAGAGAGAGAGAGAGAGGCAGAGACATAGGCAGAGGGAGAAGCAGGCTCCATGCACCGGGAGCCCGACGTGGGATTCGATCCCGGGTCTCCAGAATCGCGCCCTGGGCCAAAGGCAGGAGCTAAACCGCTGCGCCACCCAGGGATCCCAAATATCTGACTCTTGATCTCAGCTCAGGTCTCGATCTCAGTGTCATGAGTTCAAGCCCCATGTTGGGCTCTGTGCTGGGCGTGGAGCCTACTTCAGAAAAAAGAAAAAAAGAAGGAAAACAGTTGGTGACAGATCTGTGGTAATCAGAGTCTG